TGTTTGTTAGTTGTTAGACAATGGTCTCACTGGTGGGAAGTAACGCATCATGGCTTCAAGGTATCACCAAGGAGGTAGACCAAGCCAACTACAGGTTGTAATTACGTATCATCAAGGTCCTTCCAAAGCCATGTTGCTTATCGGTAATCTTTTTGCAACTAATGCCTATTTAAGGCCTTTTTAAGACAAACTGCAAAATTCAAGACCTTTCAAGATGGTGCATACCTTGACACAAATGTACATCTAGAGCTGCTTCCATCTGTAACAACTCTGGCATAAAGTACAAGGTGAGAAAAACAAAAAGCAGAATAATGGAATAATGCTATGATCATTGTCCTGTAAATAAACATAATTGATTTGTACATAACTGCTTTGTATGGAGCCAGTTTTATTTACTTTAGTCCTCCGACGACAGGGTTCCTGTAAAACATAGATGACTTCGGTGAGTCTGGGAATTGGAATGATCCACAGAAACCACAGTCCCTGATCTTTCAGAGGACAAAAGTCTCATTTTCTTCTTCAAACCTGCTGCAGAACATATGATGAAACTGTTCTTAACATTTTGGAAGGTTACTCAATATGAATTTTATTTTTCACTTCTGTACAACAGGTATTAGATTTTGCACCTCTGAAGACATGATAAAAGGTCAACTTTAAAACATCCAACAATCTATTTCTTCACATCTCTTTGTCGCCAATCCTGAAGATTGGGCACAATGTACACTTGTGGTTGGTAATTAGCAGCCTGATAATTTTCTCGTCTATTATGATCAAGTGACAAAAATAGCAGCTTTGTGTTGACATTTGTGACCCGAAATACTACCGTAGTGACAACAAGTCAGGTAATCAGGTGACATAATGATTAGTTGTCAGACAGACAGGACACAAATGACATAACTGTTTTTGTCTTCCTGCGTGTAAGGACATCTCAGCAGGGGGTGTGGACACTGGGGAAGTTTACGCAATAATGGTGAATAATTAACATGAATAGGAAGCTATTAGGGAAACTTGATTAAATGTTGAACATGGACAAGTCTCTTGTAAAGCAATCTAGGTCCAATGTTCTTATTGCAGAGCATTTTCTCGCTTCCTCTACAGCTATTTATTGATTATAGTATAGACACATGCAAGAGATCTTGCAGTTCATTTGGTCCATTGATAACACAGACTAACAAGCCAGTTTCCAGTATTTGAACTCTGCTTCATCAGTAAATACAGTCTGTGTTGTTAGTAACCCATGCATTGCTGCTTGACGAGGCTGTAGTACAGTTACAGAGTAGGGAATTGTGGTGAGTGAGTGAGTGAGTGAGTGAGTGAGTGAGATCTTGTCAGATATTGCCAAGTTGGCAAGTTGGTGAATCACTGACTTGAAATTCACTAGTATTTCCACAATATAATCAGGTCTGGGTTTTGTTTGTTTGTTGTTTAATGCTGAACTCAGCTATCTCAAGCTACACGATGGTGGTCTGTATATCACTGAGTCTGGACCAGACAATCCAGTGATTGACATCATGAGCATCAATCTACGCAGCTGGGATATGAACTGAGCGAGTCTACACCACGGGATCCCATTAGTCACTTCTTATGACAAGAATGGGCTGCTGAAGACCAATATAACCTGGATCTCCCTAGATTCCCCAGATACTAGTTTGTGCATACCACACCAGCCTGTCAATATGTACAGGAAATACCCAGGTCTAATACCCCTGATACCTCAGATTGCTAGCATGTACCTAACTGGCCACTACCTGTTGCTTTGTACATTACATAACCTTGCTGTTACCGCAGCAATTTGTACATATACTGCAACATATGTTAATCATCTACTCTGTACTGTAGCATCTGCATCAACCTTTCTTGGCACAACATACATTAAGAAGACTGGAAATAACACCGAGATTTATAGTTCTCTGGTGAACAATTGATACAAATGGTGACAACTGTCAACCTTAAATTCTTCCCGATGCTGTTCTGGAACATGATACATTCCAGGAGGTCTGACAAAGACAAATCTCCATCTCCATGTTAAGGTTAATCTCACCTCACAGCGAAATTAGATAAAACAATGTAGCTGCTTTTATTTCCTTAGCTGCACATTTGAAATCTGACCATCATGTCAAATTGCTGATCATTTTTTCAAGACAAGTACTACATGTATGTCACCGTAGCAACCATCATGGCTTCACTTCAGTTTTGCCCAAGGACTGAAGAGGGATATTAGCAAGACCTTACCAATTAATATTTCAGAGGCACTGTGTGTATGAAGCATGCGAGTGTACTGAGCTCCCAGCTCGGCGCCTCAAATACCAGTCTGGTCTTAATGCTTCACTTTATTGACTGATCACAGCTCTCTTGGTGGTTCTAGTCTTCATTTAGCAGCCATTTTATGAATATTTCTGAAACAATTTTGTCACAAGATACAATCATTAAAATAGTTCAGAGCAATTTATTGTATCAGGTGAACCTTGGCATATGCTTCTGGATGCAATGTGAATGGATTTGGGTGTGATAACGCGAAGATATTTCATTTGAGAGACTTCTACTGCATTTCTATCTTACTGATAGATAAGAATAGACACAACTACTAGACATCCTCCCCCTCTAACTATCAGTTGATGGTGGCTTGTCAATAACAGTGTGGAACATCTCACATAGTATTCCCTGTATATATACTACTAGAAAGAGCTTAAGGACCATCCAATTCTTTCATGTATCTATAGTTAATCAGCCATGACATGAACTATTAGCCATAATTAGATGAAACAATCAGATGGCACTTCACATTTTTTAAGTAGTACATTTATACCAAGTGTGAAGCACAGAACAAAGGTTTTTGTATGATAGTCTCAGTATTGATAATTGTTCTGTACCGTTGACATATTGGCACTTATGTTCATTTTAAAGCAGAAAGAGCTGAACCAATTTTTCTTTTTCATCAATAAAATACTCACAAATATAAAAAATTTTTATGTCACACTGTACTTTATTTACATATTTAATCCATATTGTGATATAAAAGTGTTGTTTGACCAAACGCCATGCACATGATTTGCATTCATTTTCACTCTATCATTAATTTTAGGATTTTCAGTACTTTCCAAAAGAAGAATTTAAAAAACCCCAACTAGTTTGCAGAAAAACCTGGCGTTTTCACTTGCATGATCAAAGAATCCAAATGTGTGCAATATGTTTCGTTATTGTCAAATTAACTTCCAAAATTATTGATACATGGATAGTTCCAGTGGACATGTATGGCGACAACCATCATTACATCAAGCTACAGGCAAATAGTTCATTCATGTATTTGTTGACACAGCACAAAAAATTGTACTTTTGTTTACGGTCTACTTGTCGAGTCCTGTGTGAGTTCCACGCCACATGTAAATCGAGATACATAGAAAATGGGGAATCTGTGTGCTAGAGAGAAAGAAGAATGAATGAGAGTGAGGAAGAAGACAAGAATGATTGAGCAATGAAGACCAAGTCAGAAGACTAACGCTTTGTCTCTGGAAGACTACATTTACATCAAAAAGGAACCCCAGTGAAATTGCAGATTTCTGAACCCGTCAATCTAGACTTGGTTCATTTAGACCTATAGCATTATAGTATGGGCTGAGAAGAAGGGAAAATCACATGGTTTAGAGAAAGACCAGCAAATGGGCAGTGTCTTGCTCTACCGTATTGAACTGACTGCTGTAACAGTCCTTCGCCTGAAGACTGACGGACCAGCTACCAGTCACAGAAAGGGGGAGGAGAGAATCCACTGAACAGGGACTTGCGTATTTGGTCATCAGGACAAAGAAAGATATTGGAGAGAAATGAATAAACACGTTAAGATCAAAACTGCTCTAAAATATAGTTGTGTTAGCTTAAAATAATATTAAAATAATTATTATATTACAATACATCGTGTTTTCATTTAGAGAAGTATAGTGTGGACAAACAAAGCAACATCAAGAAGGTCATCAGATCCTGGCATGCTTAAGGGACAAAACTCAACTGCAAGGGCCATCATACACTTTCAAAGAAGTATTTCAGATAAAAGACAACAGTGGTAAGAGTTAAGACAGAGAATGAGCGATAATGATGATATAATCACAAAAGTAAATGATAGTTCCAGGCCAGTGAATGCCACCGACTGAAAAGACCTGGAGAAATTGAACTGCATTACTTCCATGTTTAGATGTTTTTGTGATTTTAAGTATAAAATTGTCTGTGGAAGTTGTGATAAAGACATAAATGTTTGTCTACGAACCGGAGACAATTGCCAGGTGTTGCTGGTGCCCTGAGGCACAACTTTATAGGTTAGTGTTTTCTTTCACATCGCTCGTGTTCTGGCTAGACCTGCTCGGCTCTGTCCTGAACTGCTCTCTGCTCATCGACAACTACATAGTTCATTTGACTCATTTTGTAAAGTAATAGAATTAGTTTCTGTATTTAATTCACAGTAAATTAATATTAACACAAAGTTTATTCTGTTTTTTCTTGATTTTATTGAAGGCATCTGTCTGTTTAAGAAGTCACAATATATCCAATCCATTAACAAACAGCATTTCTAATCAGTGAATTTATTGAATTACACTCTAATAGTGCTTGAAAGCTTCTCCAAACTTGTATCCCAATAACACGCAGTTCAACCTCATGCTTCCTTGGATGCACAACAATAAAGCCCAAAGAATCAGTCAAAAGTTGAGGTATTATCTCGTTCACGGGTGAGTGAATTTTACGCGTTATCTATGTCGTGATGTCTGTGAAGCCTCACAACCCAACTAAGCGAGGAGCGTGAGAGAGTACTTATGTCTGTATTGACCTGACAAGGTGGCGACAATGCTAATACCCATCTTCCCTTTCATTAAAGCGATACAATCTCACTTCTTCTGTAGGGAACTGTCACTGATTGGTCAAGTCTACTCACAACCTGAACAGCAACCTAGAGCAACACAAGCAGACGCAGCCAAACAGGCAGCCAATTAAGATATCCACTCATTTAACCTGGTCAAGATCCATAGCTAATTATGGACACAACTTGGTCAGTGTCCGAAAAGGAATAATGGATGGGGTCATGATTGTAACAGTGTCGTAGACTCTACCCAAACTGACCAACTACCATATACCTGGTTGCCTGGGATAGGAGAGGCTATGGAATAAAGCTCCTGCTACCGATAAGTCTGCGTATTTCTGCAGATACATCTCCGGTTCCATGGGATCAGCAGCAATTAGCTGTGCCAGAGACGGTGATAACACGGTGATAACACGACAAGTTCTGAATCAATGTGATAACATCTACCTTGGTCGTGACAGCCGTTATTTGTTACTGGAGGCTGGGAGGAAGCAGACCTCTGTTGGACATTCATTCCTCTCGGAAACCGGTGTGTACACAACGCGATAGTGCCGTGCTTGGGTTATCTGAACGTAAAGTGGTACTGTGGTACTCCAGTGGCAGATAGAGATTGTCAATGTTGTACAGGCGGGGAATACGAGGAAATAGCGCCATCATTTAGAGGATATATCACCATGATGTAGCCGACAATGTCACCAGCAGTAAGTGTTCTATTAGTCTTTAATCTCATCCCACTTAACTTGACAGCTTGTTCAGTTTACATAACACTGATGTTTTTTGTGAAGCTTATAAATCACACAATGGATCTAACGTCTCAGTGGTATTTAAGTGACAGCTGATCGAGGACAAGCCATTTATATTGCTTGATTTTATTACAGAAATGTGTCAATTTGCATTTGGAAAGTGTGTTGTCCTTTACACCAACATTTTTTCTAACGATGCTGAAATCCATGTCTTATCTGATGGAAGCATCCCTGATGTACTTCCTTTTTTGCCCCTACTGGCTGTCCTGCTGTCCCTGCCTGTCGGCCCTTAACAGCCAGCCTTGGCTGTCTATCACATCTCACAGGCTGCTGGAACCTTATATATAGATCAGACTAGAACTGACAGCTACAAGCAAATTACCTTGTTATCACACACATGAGTGAGCAGTGGCCTGAGATGTCAGGTCAAGCGAAACACTGACCAATTGCTAAACTGACCAGATGAATGGCAAGGTGCCCTTCTGTACCTTGGGGACAGCACAGGGGGCAGCTGGGGTGGGGTGACCTGCACAGGGGGCAGCTGGGGTGGGGTGACCTGCACAGCCTCAAACAGGGGTAGGACGATTTTGTTCTATTGAGAGGCAGTCACATTGAAGGTGGGAGGATCTCTAGACACACGGCCACAATCACATCCATACACACCCATCTCTGTGGGGAGACCTATGGGACTGTCACATGGAGGCTGGGAGGATCTCTGGCCACACGGCCACAATCACATCCATACCCACCCATCTCTGTGGGGAGACCTATGGGACTGTCACATGGAGGGTGGGTGGATCTATGGGGACTGTCACGTGGAGGGTGGGTGGATCTATGGGGACTGTCACATGGAGGGTGGGTGGATCTATAGGGACTGTCACATGGAGGGTGGGTGGATCTGTAGGGATAGTCACATGGAGGGTGGGTGGATCTGTAGGGACTGTCACATGGAGGGTGGGTGGATCTGTAGGGACTGTCACATGGAGGGTGGGTGGATCTATGGGGATAGTCACATGGAGGGTGGGTGGATCTGTAGGGACTGTCACATGGAGGATGGGTGGATCTGTAGGGACTGTCAAATGAAGGGTGGGGATCTATGGGGATAGTCACATGGAGGATGGGTGGATTTATTGGGACTGTCATATGGAGGGTGGATGGATCTATAGGGATAGTCACATGGAGGGTGGGTGGATCTGTAGGGACTGTCACATGGAGGGTGGGTGGATCTGTAGGGACTGTCACATGGAGGGTGGGTGGATCTATGGGGATAGTCACATGGAGGGTGGGTGGATCTATTGGGACTGTCACATGGAGGGTGGGTGGATCTATGGGGACTGTCACATGGAGGATGGGTGGATCTATTGGGACTGTCACATGGAGGGTGGGTGGATCTATGGGGACTGTCACATGGAGGGTGGGTGGATCTATTGGGACTGTCACATGGAGGGTGGGTGGATCTATGGGGATAGTCACATGGAGGGTGGGTGGATCTATTGGGACTGTCACATGGAGGATGGGTGGATCTATAGGGACTGTCACATGGAGCATGGGTGGATCTGTAGGGACTGTCACATGGAGGGTGGGTGGATCTGTAGGGATTGTCACATGGAGGGGACTGGTCACATGGAGGGTGGGTGGATCTATTAGGACTGTCACATGAAGGATGGGGGATCTATTGGGACTGTCACATGGAGGGTGGGGGATCTATAGGGACTGTCAAATGAAGGGTGGGGGATCTATGGGGATAGTCACATGGAGGATGGGTGGATTTATTGGGACTGTCACATGGAGGGTGGGTGGATCTATAGGCATAGTCACATGGTGGATTTATGGGTGGATCTATTGGGACTGTCACATGGAGGGTGGGTGGATCTATGGGGACTGTCACATGGAGGATGGGTGGTGGAGGATTGATTTTGGGACTGTCACATGGAGGGTGGGTGGATCTATAGGGATAGTCACATGGAGGGTGGGTGGATCTATAGGGACTGTCACCTGGAAGATGGGTGGATATGTAGGGTCTGTCACATGGAGGATGGGTGGATTTATTGGGACTGTCACATGGAGGGTGGGTGGATCTATAGGGATAGTCACATGGAGGGTGGGTGGATCTGTAGGGGTCACATGGAAGATGGGTGGATCTGTAGGGACTGTCACATGGAGGGTGGATGGATCTATAGGGATAGTCAAATGGAGGGTGGGGGGATTTGTAGGGACTGTCACATGGAGGGTGGATGGATCTATGGGGATAGTCACCTGGAGGGTGTGTGTGGATCTGTAGGGACTGTCACATGGAGGGTGGATGGATCTGTAGGGACTGTCACATGGAGGGTGGATGGATCTATGGGGATAGTCACATGGAGGGTGGGTGGATCTGTAGGGACTGTCACATGGAGGGTGGAGTGGATCTGTAGGGACTGTCACAGGAGGGCAGGTGGATCTGTAGGGACTGTCACATGGGAGGGTGAGGTGGATCTATAGGGATAGTCAAATGGAGGGTGGGTGGATCTGTAGGGACTGTCACATGGAGGGTGGATGGATCTATGGGGATAGTCACCTGGGAGGTGTGTGTGTGGATCTGTAGGGACTGTCACATGGAGGGTGGATGGATCTATAGGGACTGTCACATGGAGGGTGGGTGGATCTATGGGGATAGTCACATGGAGGGTGGGTGGATCTATTGGGACTGTCACATGGAGGGTGGGTGGATCTATAGGGACTGTCACATGGAGGGTGGGTGGATCTATTGGGACTGTCACATGGACGATGGGTGGATCTATTGGGACTGTAAAATGGAGGGTGGGTGGATCTATCGGGACTGTCACATGGAGGGTGGGTGGATCTATAGGGACTGTCACATGGGAGGGTGGGTGGATCTGTCACAGGAGGGCAGGTGGATCTGTAGGGACTGTCACATGGAGGGTGGGTGGATCTATAGGGATAGTCACATGGAGGGTGGGTGGATCTATAGGGACTGTCACATGGAGGGTGGATGGATCTATGGGGATAGTCACCTGGAGGGTGTGTGGATCTATAGGGACTGTCACATGGAGGGTGGATGGATCTGTGGGACTGTCACATTGGACTGTAAAATGGTGGGTGGATCTATAGGGACTGTCACATGGAGGGTGGGTGGATCTGTAGGGACTGTCACATGGAGGGTGGGTGGATCTATGGGGATAGTCACCTGGAGGATGGGTGGATCTATTGGGACTGTAAAATGGAGGGTGGGTGGATCTGTCGGGACTGTCACATGGAGGGTGGGTGGATCTGTAGGGACTGTCACATGGAGGGTGGGTGGATCTATAGGGACTGTCACATGGAAGACACAGCTATAGGTTTTCAGAAATGTTTTAGTATGCTGTTTTGATATAATCCTTAAAGAGAAAGTGTTTAAATGAAAGTTCATGCTGCCATTGATAGAGTAGACATCATGTCTCGAAGGCAAACACAGCTCTGGACCATCAGACTATCACGCATCAAATACCTGCTGACAAAAAAGCTAAGAACTTGTTTTCCTTCTGGTGGTTGGAATATTTTCCCACATGAGAGCTAACAAGCTGGAGTGGGTGACAGGACGTCCTGTAGACACTCAGCGAATGTAGCTCTCCATGACAGACTGTCAACAGCCATACTCACCATTGGCTAGTTTTCTTTACTAAAGACTTCCACTGGAAGCACAGCTAATTTCAACGGTTCAAAGAAACAGAATGTTTCACCAAGTAAATTGTTCACTTTGAAAATAAAAATATTTGAATTTGTGATTCTGTTTGACTGGTGTGCCTATGCACTGGGTGTTGTGTCAATACACAGCCGCATCAAAGGCAAGCAGCCATTTCACCTCAGAGCTGCTGCACAATGTCATTAATGCTCTGAGAAACGTAGTTCCACTCCAACTACCACCGTAAACTGCACTGACCCTGTGTGTATTGGCAGTGGAGGTACCTGGCAGGTAGCTGTGTGTTGACAGGTGTGTTGACAAATAATGTAACCAGGTAAATAAACAGCAGGTATCTTGGGGTAAGGGGTGGGTCACACCATGCCGGTTCAAAATTTCCATTCAACGACTAAACACTTTCTCTATGTCATTGTGTGATTACAGTGTAATAAACTCTGTACAAAAGGCAAGGTTTCCAATACATAAAAAGTTTAAGATTATAGATGCATAACACAAAAGATGAGATGATCTGGCATCACATTTTTTTGTGCTATTCTAATGTAAGAATTGATCTCTCTCAGAATCAATTTCTGTTATTGATTACAAGTCTAACTTGATTCCAAGAAACTACCAACAGTCACACCTTCCCTATATATAGCAAAAGGCACCATCTCAGTGCCATGTGCAGTCACTGTGGGGAAGTACTGAAAACAGTCGGGGTCAGCTACTGAAATGACATGATTCCAGGCCAGTTGCTGCCTCTTCTGTGTATGGAGACTGGGGAGGGGGAAGGAGGCTATAGGAATTTTTTTTGTGTGTTACATACAATATTTTCTTAATTTGTAGGTATATGTATTTGACACACTCGAGCAAACAGCAGAAATATTTCTAAAAGATAAATATTAGCATGATTTTTTTACCATTTGACTTTCTATAAGTCTAACAGAAAAAGTTTACATTTTAACAAAAGAGAATGGTTAAGTTTTAAACTATTTGATCAAATGCATTGTTTTCATTTAACGTTGCCCTGACAACAGCACGACAGCAAGAACCTTCACTATATACATGGCAATATTACCCTGAAGTATTAAACACCTTCATTCTAAACACGGAACCAACCAACAACTTGCAGCCACATAAAAACAAACTAGTGAGCTAAACAAAACTAATGAACTATGTGAAGCACAATTTTATTTTTGCTAAAAAATGTTAGGTTTAGTAGTTAAAAATTAAACAAAAATGAGCTACACAAATATATTCCTGTTTGAATCCACATCCTAGAAGCATGGTCAGCTGTAGA